AAGGGCATAAGTACATAGATTCACAAATGTATGTACTTGATGCTTGTCAGGTAGGCACGTAGAAGTATTCAGCACAATATCAACCAAAGATAAACATTTTCTTGTTGTGATATTGTGATTTAAATAAGAAATTTTGGGGGGAGGGTATAGTCCAGTGGCAGAGTGTGTGCTTAGCATGCACAAGATCCTGGCTTCAATCCCCAGTACTTCCATTAAAACAAACAAACCAACATGTAAATAAATAAATAAACTAATTACCTCCCCCCCAAATTAAAATACATTTTTAAAAAATTGTTATGGATTTTAAGATGGCAGCAGCAGAGTGTTAAACCCAACGTGGGGTCCTTTTGAAAGCAGGGCTCTGTGCCAAGCGCAGGCAATGACCTCAAGTTCAGCCCTGTCTGTATGCACAGGATGGGCACCATCTCGTGAATTTGGGTTGTAGCGTCAATTCTTTCTCTCAAGAGGCGCAGACTTGAACCAATACATCATTCACTCTCTGTGCCCGACCTGGGCAGAATCTGACCCCACTGGCAGTCTCCTCCCTGTGACTCAGTGTCCTTTCTATAAGCCCCAGTGCCTCCTGTGTCAGTGGGCTGTTGTGAGACACTGAGAGGCCCTGCTCCACCCAATGCAATGCCCCACCTCAAGGGAGCATTGCTGAAAATTACCCACCTTCAGATTCAGCCTGACACACCCTCCCCCTAACTTCCCATTAAAATATTCATAAAAAAAAATGAAAAGGAGAAAACTCACAGCAGCAAGGACATTATGGCTAATACCCAACCACATGCCAGAATGCAGGGGAGTGCTCAGGCCCGCGTTGTCAGTGGGTTGCGGTAAGAACCATGGCCATGGCTGCAGCCGGTTCCCCCCAGCGGGGCCCGGGCTCTTTGTTCGCCTACGGCTGCAGCCGCTTCAGACTGTAAATTCCCTCAGGAACATGCTTACTTTCAGCGAGGGCTTCCGCCCCCCAAAAGCCATGCGTTCCTTCCTTCCACCTCCTTCCCAGGCATTCCGCACGCACCCCCCACACCTGGCAATGAGTGGGACTGATTCTTTTGGAGATTTTGTAGCCCAGTTTCTTCTAGCCTACTCCATACCCCTCACATCCTTAATCACTCTCTTAATGTCCTTGTCCCCACTCCTCTGTCCCCTCCTGTAATCGCATCCTCAGGCTGCTCTGGGCCACCTCCCCCCACCCCGACCCCCGCTTCCCCGTGCTCTCCCGTGTCCTTTGGCATTCCATGGCCTTTTAAACCCATCCCAGGAGAGCCTCTCACTCCTGCCTAAGAAACCTGACTCTCCTTCTCAGGTAGAGCGGGATTTTCCCCACTCTCTCCCCCTCCACGGGGCAGAAAGGGGAGATCAGGCTGTACTAACCAGAATCCACTGCCCCCTGTGCTGAGGGTCCTGGTGGGAAGCGACTCAAGAAAGAGACCACTAACCGACAAAATCTTCAGGTATTTTATTGGCCCCGGTATCCCCCAGGCCATGGGAGTAGGTGACATCCGAAGCCGAACCTGACCTTCCAGTTCCCTCCCCTCTACTTCATTCCTTGCTCCTGCAGTGCAATGAGCACCCCCATCCATAAGGCAGAGGCAAGGAATCTTACTGTGAGAACGTATGAGAACGTGCAACCTCTGTCTATAGTCCTCTGAGGTCTCCACATCCCCTAGTAAGCGCCTGATATCTTTATGACCAAGATTCACCCACAAACACTGAAGAATCTGCCCTGTTCCTGATGGTTTTGGTCCCTCTGTCAAGCCTCAAATTCCTACATTTCTATTCAGTTAAGTAAATACAGTCCTTAATTACTTTCCCCACCTGTTGCTCTCCTGGGGACAAGTTTGTCTGACAGAAGCATCCTAGCTCAGGCAGGACACCTCAGGGCCATCAGTACAGCAAGGCTGTCTGGCTAGCCAAAGCATCTGGTCTACCCAGGGTCCCTACACTGAATGGGGGAGGGAGTAAACATTTGAGAACAATTTGCCTACAACCACACAATTTAATCGGATCAAGAGCTAATGTTGTTTACATTAACATGACTTTATTATCTCAGAATATTTTTATCCCCAAAGATAAGTTGCAAAAGCCTTTATTGCATCATTTGGGAACTGCCTAATTCATTTATTTGAACAACAGTTTCCTCCTCAACTAGACCTGTTCTCAGGACAACAGGGAAATCAGACAATACATCAGGACAATAGACAAACTCAACTAAAGGGCAAATCTACTCCCTTTCCAAGTGGCTGTTCACTTGTCAAGTCTTGCTTGACCTCACAGTGTCCACCAATCCTTAACTATTTATCCCAACCAAGCCTCGAGATTAAAAGACCCTCCTTAAGGCACTCCCCAAATCTTATAGATATCCACTCATGACCTCCCCACCACGAGCCACTCCTAAAAATGCATCAAGGTGTACTTTCCTTTACTGAAGTAGGGAATAAACTTGGCTTTGCTTGATCAATAGATTATTTCCGTAGTCTTTTTAAGAGTCGGTGGTTGTTAGTTTTGAAACTTTCTGGCCTCTTTACAGTTCCACATTCACTCTGTTTCAGTATTAAAACTCCATTTGATTAATAATTCTGTGACTCAGGGGCAGGGGGAAAAAGCTCAGTGGTAAAACGCATGCTTAGCATGTCCTGGGTTCAATCCCCAGTCCCTCCATTTAAAAAAAAAAAATCTGTGACTCAATAGTCTGCATCCTTTGCAGGCTGAGAGATGAGCCTCCAGATCCTTACTACTCCAGCCTCTCTGAGGGTCTCACCTTCTGGCTACTTCGTTATCTATCCTTCCCCTACCTTGTCCATCCGTTCATTCAGCCAACAAATATTTAATGGCTTCTCTGGCTAGACATTACCTTATACCCTGTTCCTTCAACTCTTAGTCTCCTACTCAAATGAAATACTGGAAAATTTGGCATCCTGAAGGTTTCTATGTTTCATTTCCTGCCACGATCCTCACTGTCCTCCTCTCCAGTGACTCGCAGTTCCCTTTACCTGCCCATTCCAATGGAAGTGCCACAGACGATCTCATCCCCTGCGGATGCTTCATGCTTCGCGTCTGAAATGTGCAAGCGTCAAGGTATTTACGTGTGTGACTGACAACTCTTCCTCTCCCCAGGCCTCCTGTTAGCCCTTCTCCCACGTGAAGGCTGGACTGAAAGTGCTCTGATGGCTGAGAAAACATCTACCACTGGGAACAATGACTCAGACTCTAAATTACTGCCTTGGGTGGGCTTTTTTAGAAGCAGCCCCTGAGAAGAAGATTTGTGTGCAAGTGGTTTGTTAAACAAGTGCTCACCAAGTTTACCTGGAACCGGGGGAGGGAGATGAGCTACAGGGATTCAGAACATTCCCAGAACTGGGAAAGTTCCAGGCAAACTGGGATGAGGAGAAACTGGGAAGAAGGTAGGGTAAGCAGAACAGGGCAAGTGTTTCTTAGCCAAGCAGAGCTGTGCCTGCGTACATCAGGAGGGCAGCCTTCGCCTGATCCCATGTGGGTGCTCTGGAGGGAGAGTTATGCCTCAGAGCTTACCCCCACCCAGAGTAAGAGAGCAGAACCATCAAACTCCTGTGGTTACCCGACATAAGCTAATGTCCTTAGGCTGAGGATGTGCAAGGGGCGGAGGAGGGGGAAACAGTCCCAGGAACCCGAGGGGAACCCTCGGTGCCCTGAGCTCATCCGCTACAGTGCTGGCTTCAAAGGGCATGGGATCAAATGATTCACACAGACAAATGAGAGGACAGCCTGCCAGCCTGCTTTGCTGCCCCTCCCACCTCCACTCACACGGGACAGAAATCAATCTGAGGTGCGAGCAGGGAGGGAGAGTTGTAGGTGGTCACAGGGACGGCCAGGGGAACACTCCCCCTTCCCGGGGCCTCCTACGGGAAGGGTGGGGGACACCCAGGAGAATTTCCCTTAAAGTCTGTGTGTCATTATGAAAACGGCAGACTTGTACCCCTTCTCTTTTTATTTCTGAAGATGAGAGAGTGCAGGAGTGTCTCCCCAGGATCAGGGTATTAAGAGACAGGAGTACAGTGTGCCCAGATAGGCCTGGCATCCACACTCATATTTCCCCATGACCTTGAAGACATGGAAAATGATGCCAAAGTTTCCCAGGACCCTGAGTGAGTAGCCATCAACGGTAGCAGACGGAAGAGAATGAGTGTGCAGCCCTGGCCTCCCTGGTTGAGTCAGGGAGACTCCCCAAGAGTGGGCTGCGATGTCATTTTGAGAGGTCCTTGGTCACCATCTCCTTTGCAGGCTGAAATCTCACCAGCACTGGAAGGAACAACCATACCTCTTCGTGATCCCACTTGCTTTAGAATCTGCTAAAAATGAAGATGGCTAAAGTCTTTTACAGGCATTTATTTTATCTCCAGGGGAAATGGATGGAAAATATAAGCTAAGACTACAATGAAAGCTACACCAAGGTCTCCATGTGCCTTCTCCGAAGGAGAATTACAGTTATTGCAAGAAGAGAGGAGCACACAGAGTAGTTCCCCAAATACAATGAGATGTCTCTCTTTGTCCAAAAGTAAGCTTACCCACTGTCAATGTTTCTCCTCGCAATAGAAACTAACCTGCCCTTCGAGTTTTGAGTGACATAATAAATCTGGGACTGCACCCAAACCTTAAAATTACCTCCAGGGATGTAAGAGAGTTGAAATTAAATACCACCGAGGATCTGCCATTTTTGCCCCAGGAGAGCAATGTGAGGCACGAGAACATTTCCCCCTCCCCCGATGCTTTGATAGAGTCACCAGCTGTGTCACAACCCCGAAGCTGGACGTGGGCTGTGGGTCCATTCAACTGTTTCTGTCCCTTTGTCCATGAGACCCCCCAGCTCGGGAGTCCAGGACTGCTTACACGGGTGGAGCTGAACATGGGGTCAATGACCGCTGAATGCTGCTTTGCTGTTGTCTTCAGTAGGACGTTAAGGGACAGAAAAAGCACTTGAAAACTCTGTCCTTGGTGTCCTAAAATTTTCCTACCTTTAGAGTAAACGCATCAAGATAAGAGGGAACGACTCCTTTGACTCTGAGGCTCTGAAGCAAACGCACACAGCTGGCAAGGCCCAGGGCAGGCGCTGCGGCTCTGCCAGGTCCGCTCTGGCCGGGCACTGGGCTGGAGCAGGAGCCACAAGCTCCCGGGTCACCACGGCATCTGAAGTCACAGGTCTCAGCCCGACCTGGTCACGGAGGTGGGCACCACAGCTCCAGAGGGATGGGATCCACCCCGAGGAGGAGAGAAGGGGATTTTGAGCTGCTCTGAGTTAGCCGTCCTGAGCTGACTAACACAGGAGTGGGCTGAATACTCTGAAAGCACCGGGATTAGGACATCGGCCGGAGGGTGATGGAAGATCTGAGACAGAAATTAAAGGCCGGTTTATAAATAAGTGAAAGTGTCCTTACTCACGTCCAAGTCTAGCTCTGCTGACATATCTTACGTCTCACATAAAACTCTCTGAAACCTCCCTTTAAACCTCATCTGTAGTGTAACCAGAGCCTCCGCTACCCTATTCCTCCACTGCCCCCTCAACCCCCAACACCCTCTCGCCCTCAGTTACCACCCCTGACGCCTAAGCCCACGGGGCACCACAGGACCCACTTTCTAGACAATGCACTTAATTCTCACCCTTTTCTCATCCCTACTGAGAAAAATATGAGCCTGTATCCACCCCGCTGCCTGCTTCCTCCAAGCACATACCCTGGCTTCTGAGTACCGCTGGCGAAGATTGCACAAGCATGTGGATTGGAGCTGTGACAGTGGTGTGGCCTCTGAGCTCAGCAAGGCCTTCAGTGTGGCCCGGAAATGCCTTATTTCTCACATCAGCTTTCCCCTCCACATTCTCTCAGTAGCTCACCTGACGCCTCCTATCTACCCCAACACTACCCTCCACCCGGCCTCTCGTCCCCTGGTGTTCCCGCACATCTGTACACGCTGCACATCGGGAAAGCAGTTGTCACACGAGACTTCTTGGCACTCGGTATTTTCAAAAGCTGTTTTACTGTCAAGTTTTAGTTTCTGATGGTGTACTCCTAGTGCTCATACAGATACAGTCAGCTGTAAGCGCAGCCTAACACCTGCTCCAACTTTCCTAGTTCTCTTTTAGCCAAAAACAAAACAAAGACAAACCCAAACAAACCAAGAAATCTACCACCACCACCACAAAACATCTTCAAAGATAATGAAAAAAAAGTCAAAATAGTACCCAGGCAGAGAAATTCGGTTTCCCACAAGAAGGAAAATCGGCTGACTCAGACTTTTCCTCAGAACATTAAATTCCAGAAGATAATGAGATTTTTGCAGAGCATCTAGAGGGGAAAGACATCTAAACACAAGAACGTTTTTAGTATGAAGAGGCAAAGAATGCCATCATCGATAAACGCACGGCCGTCCATCCCACCACTCAAACAGCTTTCTCACAAAAACTACTCCAAGCGTTCCTGTGGACACACGATAAACACGTGAGTGGAGACGCTGAAGTTTAAAGGAAACAGGAAGTAAGCTCAGAATTCCATTTAATGGTAGAGTGAATTACAGTTATAGTGTTTATAAATACATCATAGTTGGAAAATGGAAGGAAAAAGCCAAGAAATGTCTTGTAAACATTTAGAAGAGAAATAATAACAATAACCATGTGAAGCTCACCTAGCTCTAGGTGCACGTAGACCTCTTAGGGTGACTGCCTGACTCACCCCAGTTGCCCATTTCCCAGGAGCTGGACTCGATGGGGACATGAGAAGACCTTTCAGCTATGTCTGTATTATGTGATTCTGTGTCACTGGCCATCAGGTGGGCATCTGACTCCAGCTAATCCATTAGCTCATTCTTCCTGTGAGTCTGAA